AAAGGTGTATAAAGAGGAGAATGAGGCAAATTTGCCTTTAATTATTGGTACCAGAGAGGACAGGGAAAAACACACTCTTTGAGGTTGGAAGCCCCTGTCCACAAGAAGCAGCAGCGTGGGGTCTCAGCAGGCTGCAGGATGCACAGAAGGAATGAACTGCAGTGAGTCTGGGAATCAGTCACTCCCGGAGAGGAGTGAACATCTGGTTCCTAAAAAGCCAGCAGGGAAGAAGAGCAAATAAGGTACCAAATAACATGGTACCACCATGCCACGAGCTCTCAGCTGGGTGACCATGGTGGCTGTGGACAGAGCCACAGTGAGAACAGGGCAGAACCTCTCCTGCTGAAGGTGTTTGAGGTTAGAAAGAGCACTGGGGATCAGAATTGGTTTTGTCATTGACTTTGATGGATTGTAAGTGATTCTTAAGTCAGGTAGCCATCCTTAAGGTGGGAAAACAGTGGCTTGTGTAGTTGGGAAAGCTGGGATAAAACAAGAAAGGGGGTCCATTTGTAGCGCCTTAAGTGCTCAATTCTGGCTCCCTATGTGGACAAGTAGAACAGCCTAACTTGCACCTAATGCATGCTGGAAGTGCCCACATGGGGAATGAGCACATGGAAACATTTGTTAATGGAGACACAGTCTGTGTGTCAGTAAGATTGTCTGCACAAGCCCCAGAGAGGCAGATCATCAAGACAAGCCTGATATGAGTGAGAGCACAGGGCAACAGGGAGGGCATTACTGTTTGAAAAGCACTCTGAGAAATGAGAGCAGTACAACCCCTCTGTCACAGCAGAGGAGGCTCAGATGTGTGTTTGCAAGCTTTTTGTGACCCCATCTGTAAGTAGAGTCCAACAGCTGCAGCAAATTGCTAAATCATTCTTGGCTAATGCTGACATCAAATTATCTAAATAATTTTGGTGAGGCTATTGCTTGTCATAGGAACAAATGCACAAGTCTATACCTTCTGCTCTACTCCCTTGAGCTCTGTCATACTTTTAAAATAATACACTATTTCTTTGGCATCTGAGCTCTTCCACTCATGGCTTAATTTTATTTTTTCCCCTCTGCTAAGTCAACTCCCAGTTAATCCAGAATGCTGAACTTGTGACTTTGCAGATGCCAGCAGAGTAAGTGCCTGGGGTATCGTCACAGGCATGAGATAGCGACTCTCTGGGGAGATCAAAAAGAAACCAAGATGCAAGAGAATGCTGCCATAATTATCTGCAAGTGGGTTAGCTCAATGTCACTGCAGCAAATTCCTTGTGGTTACTGAGAACTCTCTCTCAGTACCAGAGAGCAGCTCTGTCCCCGTCCCTGAATATCTGCTAAAGAACATCAATAAGAACATTAGAAACATATTAGAAACAAAACCCAAAACACTTAATGCTCTTAAGTCTTTGATTGTTATGTCATGACAATGTGCTGTGGCAGTTTTCTCTTGGATGAATCTTTCTCTTTGGAAAAGTAGAGCAGAGCATTTGAGAAATTCTCCAGATGGTGGCAAGGAAATTATTTCTCTGATACCTGTGCAGCCGTGCCTCCACATGCTGCTGGAAGTTGCTGGTTTAAAATTGATCTTTTGGGGGAGCCTGACAAAAAAATGTGGTGCTGATGATTTGAGTTGTTCACTGTCCACTGATGAGTGCAGTGGAAATGAATGTGCCTGGGCTGGACCTGCTGTGATTTGCTTTCAGCAGGGTTCACAGTCACTCGTACCTTTCTAAGCTGTGGATGTGTCGTGGAGCTGCTGGAACAAATCATTGCAAATTCCCAGGTGCTGCTCAGGGCTTGGAAGATTCCAGCTCTAGTTTTATCCGTATGCTGACAATTTACCACACATTTGTGAGCGCTTGACTGCAGAAGGTCAGGGGAGGACCCTGAAAGCAGTTCAACTTGCTCTGAGCTGCGCTGGGAGAYAATGTCACCCGAGATGCACTCTTGTGCAAGGGGCTGGATCATTTGATTCATTTCTTTGGATCCTGCGTGTGCGTGGTGGAGCTGAACAGCTTCTGGCTGTGCCACTGAGASGATTGAATGCTTGGTAGAGGCCAGCACTAAGGAGGAACCAGCCTCTCCTCATTCTTGGTGAGGAGTGGCACAAGGAAAAGTGTTTGTACCCACATAGATGCAAGGACTGCACCAGGCTGGTGGTGTCTATGCCAGGACAAGCAGSARAAAAAYAGTGTTGTGCTCCTGTGGGSACTACAAAGCTGCAGGRSAAAAGYCTTCCTGGTCTCTCTGTCAAGCATRGAGTAGCCTTCTGGATGTACTGGGATGGGTGTGGTATGGTACCCTCAAAGCCTGCAGGACTCCCTSTCTGGATTGGGAGTTAAAGGAAAATACACTTGAGCTTGCAGCACCATCTCTAGAAACTTGCTTATGTACAACATGTTTCCCTGGATTTCTCAGCTTCTATCCAGAGCGCTGCACAGCACTCCCATTTTTACAAATAGGGAACAGAAATTTTCATTTGTTTCAAATATGTTCCCTCATGAGGAGCTCAAGATGGGCAGCAGCTTTTTGGCTGTTAGACCATCAGCCCAGCTGTAATCAACATGTTTTATATTTCTCCATGGGCTCCTGGCCACCTRTATAATGTCCATTTGTTGTCCATGGCCGGCACTGCCATCCAGATCCTTGGAATGAGGCATGGGTTACCATGAGGTTATGCCCCCATGAGGGGCAGTTTGCAGTAGGGTGACAAATACTGCTGTCCCTTCTGCATGAAGTCCCTCCCATGCACTGCTCCCATGGCACTGCTGTTCACTTCTTGTTACTTTAAGGCAYTTGGGGAGATTTATCCAGAAGAGGTGCAAACATATTGTGGCAATGTTAGCAAATGAAAATTGAGAGAGAGTCTCTGTCCCTGTGAGACTGAATTTTAATGTGTTCATCCTGAGCTGTGTGAGGCTTTTCTATGAATGGTAAATTTGCTGGAAAACCCAGGTTTAGAGTAACAACTATTTGCCCTTTGAAGTAAAATTTGTGGACTAGCTCCACATGGGAAAGGACATGGTACTTCAGGAGTGCAGTGAACCTGTCTCTGTCCCCACCTCAGCCAAGGTGCAAGGGCCCCACAGCATCAAGCTATTTGCCCAACAGCCCTTCACTGTGGAAGRATGTTTGAGCCTGCAATGCCCAGTGAATGTCTCAAACTATAGGGACTTAGGGCCTTTCAAAAGGGATGTTAGAACAATGTTTGGGTACTGGGGGTCTGAGCACTTAGGTGAATATTGAAAGTATTAAGCTTGGGATTTCTTTTTTAATTTGCTTTTTCCCCATCTGTGACAATATCCTGATGGAAACAAAATAACTTGGTAGGATGGAATAAACTCCTATACCTGATAATCTGCAGGTTGTTCTGMTACTCCTTGGGAAGAGAGGATGGTAAATCTTATTTTGGGGAACAGCCTGATAGTGATGGAGAGAGAGGCCCATGTGAAGAGGTGACAGGCAGACAACGTGAATTTCTGCCAGGGCGCCTTGGTCATGGCTGGCCTTCTCCATTTAGCTGTATCTTGGCTGGTTCTACAGAAAATAATGCCAAATGCAGTAAGTTCTGAAATTATTGAATGTTGATTTGCAGGTTGGGTTTGAATTGGTCTCTTGCTCGGAAGCCAGCAGCTCTGTCTTCATTAGCAAATAGCACCGTGCAGTAGGAGCACATCTGCAGAGCAAAGAGGCAATGAAGGCCCAGACAGACTTCAGATTTCAAACCAGCTTCATTCTAATACCACATGCAGGAAATTTTGCACGAACCTTGTAGCAAATCAGGAGAGCAAATATTGCATATTAATAATGTCAATAAAACCTTTCAATTTATCATGAATACTTCAAGGTTTTCTCTTTTTTTGCCAAAACAAAGACTTCAAAAAAAAACTAGCATATATTAAGAGACATTTCAATGCTGTTGAAGCTGTTTTGGTTCTTTTGTTTTCAGTTGTTTCAGCTGAAATTTTGTTTGCTGCTTCTTGACGTCATCTGGTATTCTACTTAAACCTATGCGTGTGATTCTTGTTATAGTTTCAAAGAGATTTAAACATAAAATTGATGTCTTTACAACCATTTAAAAGCATATTATTATACCTATCTCTGCCTGCACAAGAGAAAGGAAAAGAAATCCGGTGCTGCTGACTTTACTTTCTTGTTCTGATTCCTCTGGTGTGTGACTAAGGAATTAGTCATGGCACATCTGCCTTGGCTGCAGGAAACAGGGAGAGGAGGCAACAACAAGGGCAAGATGGCCTTTGGGAGCTGAGACAAAAATCTGGGATCACGTGCAGGGGGGGCAGCCCAGCTGCAATGCAAGGAGTGTGTGAGGCTTGTGCAGAAGTGATTTTTAGTGTAGTAAGCTTTGCACTCTAAAGGCTTTGGATACTGTCAAGTGATAAAGGTGGGGGGAAAACGTATGGCAAGGAAATTTTATAGTCCAGGATACTGGTTGTGGAGTAGTTTGTCAGTCAAACATCAAGAACAAAAMAGCCATCAGCAAATAGCTATTGACAATTAAACAAATTGTGATGTGYGGTTTTCATATCTGAGAAATAATCCATACATATACCTTGCCCTCCTAATCTAACTTGGATTCTTATGCTAGTCTGCCTTTAAGAAACAAGAATGACACAGATTTGAGAATTTCTTTTACAGATTCCYATGCCTGAAAAATCTAAGTTTATTTTTGAACAAATTAAAAATATTGCTAAAAAGAACTGCGTGTTATGGGATATGGTCAGTGCTCATTTGTTTTTTTTTAAAAAAGATGAAATCAGAAAGGTTTTGGAGTTAGCAGGATACCAGATAGTTTTCAACTGTCTATTTAGATTTCTGTTTTCAAAAGAGAGGCAGTGTCAGACAGCCAGAAGTTTGTTTGAACTTTCTCTGGGCCCAGGAAAGGTGCAGTGAATTGTAAATATGGGTATGCAGAGAAGCCCTGAGGTGGATTATGAAACAYCTGAGAAAACTTATGCATGACCAGCTCATTTTTCCTTGTGCTKTTCCAGGTTCCAGAATCTGCTGTGGTCCCGAAAAGCCTTTGTGGACAGTGTGAAGGTCTATAACCACAGCTACATCTACATGCCAGCCTTCTCCATGAAAACAGGGACAGGACCCTCCCTCCGCGTCTACTACACCCTGGAGGATTTCGGTGCCAAGCAGGCAGTCCTTTTTGCCAACCCCAACTTCCTACGGGACATTGGCAAGTTCTGGAAGAGCAAAGGGATCCATGCCAAACGCCTTTCCACAGGACTTTTCCTGGTCAGCGCTGCCCTCGGGCTGTGTGAGGAAGTAACAATTTACGGCTTCTGGCCGTTCTCAGTGGACCTGCGTGGGAAGTTTATCAGCCATCATTACTATGACAATGTCCTGCCTGACTCTGGATTCCACGCCATGCCGGAGGAATTTCTACAGCTTTGGTTTCTTCATAAAAGTGGTGTACTGAGAATGCAGCTAGAACCATGTGAGGACCCTCTAATCAAGCCTTCGGCCTGAGGATCATAGAAGTCAATTTGGGAGATCAAACAGTTTTTAATTTCCATGCTCTCCAACAGAGAGTTCTGTYTTTTGTTGGTTGTTTTAAAAGGGAAAATAATAGTGGATCTGCATGGACCATAAAAAATGCTACTTGAAGGCCAAATGGAATATGTCTTTAATGTTTAGTGCTTTATGGAACAGAGAGGGGATGAAATGTATCTCTCCATCAAGTCCATTCAGCAGAAGTGGGAAAACAATGTCAGAAGCAGCACAGCTGAACTTTCTGGGGGAGTTTTTAAGTGACCAGTGTAAAAAGGGCATTAAGGCTCAGAGAGTCACCRGGCCACTCACAAGCTTTTGCTGACAGTGCCAAATATGACTGTCTGTTCCAAAATCCATTTCATTCCAGATCGGCACCCTGTAGAACTTTCATTTTTATTTGCTTTTTTCCTCTGTTTGGGGGAGTGTGTGTGTGTGTGTGTAGGACAGCATGTGTGGGTCACTGACTCTTTGTTTCTTTTCCTTTTATTCTTTTTTCTTTGGTTCTTCTGTTTGGTTTTTTTCCCCCCAATGGAAGGAAAAAGGAAGGGCTTAAAACCCTGAGGAGCTGAGTGCCATCAGCTGCTCTGAAGACTCTTAGGAGAGTGAAGGTGCTAAGAATCTGGTTAGAATGTCATAGGAATGCCTTGCTGCTGGGGATGGATAGACCTATGCATTGTAGGTTTTATCAGGACTGTTCAGGTCGTTGTACTTACAGCTATGTCAGTGCTGTACAGTGGGCAAGAGCTGGTTAAGGCAAATTGGTCTGAAWATAAAACATGTTACAAAACCAGTGGTGAAGCACAGCCTGATTTCAGTGACCTGCTGCAAGATTTCCACAGTGACTTTCACAGCAGGGATGGTTCCTGACCTGTTTTGCTGTCCAGCCTTAGGGATTAATTCTGTATTCATTTGGACTCCAGATGTTCATGGACTGTTGAGGGTATTTGAGGGGTTCAGTGGAATGCAGAATGAGGTTCTTCATGTGCTTATAGCAGGAAAATTGCAGAAATGAATGTAAGCGTCATTTAAAATGAGTCAAAGCTTTGAAAATTGTTTCTCTGCGTGTGACTTGCTCTTCTGCTTGGATTGTAACGTTAGCCTTAAAGACTTGTACTTCTCACATGAGATTGTCTCTGCTTAAAGAGAGTCTGGGAAATAAAACAGCCTTTGGGAGCCCTGAAAAGCTGCACAGCCAGCAAGAAAAAGGAAAACAGAGAAGGGCATGCCTTATGTAAGGCAGTTCTGCTTGCAGTGGTGAATTCTGTCAGTGTGCAGAGTGCCTGAAGGACTGTTTTATTTTGAGTCATTACTTGGGCAGCAGATGGTCCTCTCACCATGGAAATGAGAAATCATTTTATTTGTTTGCTTCGGTTTAGCACTGGAGGACAAGAGGAGAATCCCAGCTCAGTCCGTSGTGCAATTTCAGCTGCAAGATGTTACCACTATTAACTTGAAAAATCCAGATCAGTGTTCTCTTTCTTATTCTCWTATTAATGAGAATCTAGCCAAGGTGTTGGAATAACAAAAGTGTCATCAGCTTTCCACATCAACTTCCTGTGCTGYTCTAGCTCCAAAGTTCTAGTGTTTTGGGGGATGTGTCTTATCATGTGTTGATAAGGTCTCTCCTTGTAGACTACCAGCTGCAAGTTCTATAGATACAATTAATTTTTTTTAAAAGCAAAATCCATGGTTCTTCTTTAAATATGAATAATTCAACTCTCTGTGTAGGACTCTGGGGAAAAAATAGTCATGTTTTTCTTTTTAATGCTATGTTTCATAATAAACATTTTATTTTGGAATATGAATAKTCCAAGCATAAAGTGGGCACTCTTTCATAGGATTACAGAGCAATGCTAAAGGGTAATGTGGTGATTTTGGAGTTGTTCTAGTTATTGTTCTGATAAAATCTGAATGTACCTCATAGCCCACATTATCTTTGTCCATGTCTTTGTTAAAAGTACAGTCAGCACACTGATGGAACATCACTTGATAATTCATTCCCTTTCATTAGTGCTTTATCTATGATATGGGTACTTGGTGAGGAAGGATTTGAAAGTAAAATATTTCCTTGCTGCTTGTTACAGCAGAATTTGACTGAGCTGCCTTTCTTGGAGATGAAGAGGTGCCTGTATGGTTTTTATTGTGTGCATTAAGTCTGTGCTTTTTAGTCCTTTATAGATTACATTATCTCTAATAATTACAGTTACTTTCATTAACTGTGAGAACAACAGTTGGAATATGATGTGCTAAAATGGCACTTCATCAGKATGCCAGCATTTCCTTGAGAGCACCATGGAACAAGGAGAGTAAGGGGGAACTGCCTTTTGCTAGTCATCTTTTGGTATTTTTGCYAGTACTTAGGAATTYAGTTCTGAACCTCTCRGACAGCTCTCCAACCCCTTGGTAAWTATTTGTTYCTTGTGTTGGGAAAATGATTGGATTAGAATAACAAAAGGAAAACAAGTATTCTTGTAAGAAGACTCTGTCCAGTGTTTCATAATGTCTAGCTTGTTCRTGTTCAACCAGTGCCCTGGATATCTGAGGTGGTGTATTCCTCACCTCTGTAAGACTGAACCTGAGGCCTTTGTGATTCCTTTCTGGTGTCTGCAGTCCTGATGTTTTCTAGGAGATAGCTTGCAAGGAATTATGGGGGCAGGAGAGACCCAGGCCATGTGTGATGTGYGGCTGGTATGGGGGACATTGAGGATTCTGGCTCTGTTTCATTTACATATAGTGAGTATATCTGCATTGTACAAAGGCAACCACATTTGATGAGGAAGTAATTACTTCAAGGGTAAATAACTTTCTATAACTTCCAGGAAACTGGCAGTTGAGAAAAGGAGAGAAACAAAAATAAATGCCCCTTTTGAGAGGCAAAATGTGTTTTAGTTGACTTATCAGTGCATGGAAGCACTGGCCAGCAATCAGCCTTTTGCGCAGCAGGTAAGAAGGGATGCAAGAGAGTACTGCAAGACTTTCATGGCAAGAGCAGTCAAAAAGACAAAACCAAGCAGCTGAGAACATGAGAGTGGCTGTTACTTGACAGAAATATTGGAATGAAGACAGTCCATCCATGTGGAGTTTGGGGCTTGCCTTGTGGATATCTTGGATGAGGGCAATCCATGGGTAGGATCACTGATATGAAATAGGGCATTGATGGAAGGGTCTGGGAATGTATCCACCTTCAGGAGGGAGGTCATTGTTTGTGTTGCCATATTTTCCGTGAAGTCTTTTGAAATTTTAATATTCGTTAGTGAAATTSCCTCCTGTAGCACCTATGTTTTCACTGCCGTCCCTGAATTTCCCTGATAGTGTCACTAAAGCTGTCCAAATCTTTGCCAGATTGAAAGCTACTGCAGTTCATCTTCAATAAAAATTGGTTCAGGCTGGCCAAATGGTTTGTTAATATTTATGGTTAAAGTTATTAATTTTATCATAGAGCTGACACAGGACAGAAGTGCTGCAATATTGCTCTGCCTGCATAGGAATCATTGTCCCATGTAGACAAGTAGAATAAATTAAATACCTTTACAAGAGCTATGCACTGAAATCACTCTTGATACAATCCTTTTGGGGCTGTATATGTTTTTGAGGAAATCGAGACSAATTTTTGAACTTGTGACAAAACTATAAAATTTTCCCTCTTTGTTGATTAGAAAGCCTCTGGAGCTCTTTCTAAATCAGACAAGCAAAACAGGAATTAGCAAAGCAAAATCCTAGAGAATGGGGTGGGAGGTGTGGTCATAAGAATAAAAATATTTCTMATTTTGGCACAGACCCTGTTATAGTGCTAAGAACTCTTGCTCATGAACGTTGTATTTTTATATTTTTGCTGGAATGAAGATAACAAGTTTGCTGTGAGGCAGCTACTAAAGTCAAAGGTCTAAGTTTTACAGAAGTTTTACAGAATATAGAAATATTGGCTGTTTTTTCAACTTGACTACTTTCATCTTTTTGTTCCTTTCCTAAAAAATTATGTTGTTATCTAGGCAGCTGAGTTAGCCCCTCTGTGAGAGCTGAAACAGGCAAAGCAGCTGCTTTTTGAAACTCAGTTTCCTAAAATGTAGTTATTGAAAGCCAGTCCTGGAAACAACTTTGCAAATACTGACTTAATGTCGAGCTCACTCTTGCCTGTAATTAAGGAGTAAGGTAAYTTTTGATCTAGAAGTGAGGAAAATGAAGGAGATGAGTGCAATCTCACCGTTTGCTGCCTCTTAACTCTTCTTCAGATTAATAGATTAGGAAGTTGTCTTGGTTTGAAAGACACAYATCTGCCAAGGAAGGTGGGAACCYCCCTTGGAATGGAGAATAYGAGCCCCTTCCCYCSRAWTWWTWWWAMYTTKRAAWTWARGRRSYTTYMRGSMAA